CACTACATGCATCTGACAAAGTGGGTCTTTGCCCACATAAGCTTATGCTCCTACACTTCAGTTAGTTTATTCAGTTACAGGTATAGCAGGGATCAGTGCAGACATCCATACAATTTAATACATTAATATATAGTATAGGAAGGTGTAGGATTACCAAGGCCTGAAGTTAAAGACTGTGCAAAATCCAAAGGGATAGTAAGAAGAATGTGGATTGTGTTAAAACATCATGTTTGTCACTAACAAGTGTAAAGTTACACAGATAGTGAGAAGAAGTGATCAAAAGAATCAGTTTGTACATCTACAAAAGCTGACTGTTGGCAGATATGCAGGAATGATAAGCAGCAAATGCACAGAGTATTACTGTTCTAAAATTTAAAAAAGGCACGTGTGTATGTTTGTAGAGCAGTCAATGTAATGCCAACATAGCAATAGTTCTATTGCAAACAGACCTGTGAGAATGCATACAGAGAGCCTCACTATTTTGGGAGAGAGAAAAAATACAAGGATCAGTTAACTTTATGGCAGAAAGACTGAAGGATAAAACTTAAATATACAAATTAGGAGGCTATATTTATGTAGGTTAGAAAAGAACAAAGTCAACAAGGGAAAGCAATATCTTCTTCCTGTCATTTTGAGTTACAGAACATTATTCTTCACAGGTCCTGAATTTGCTAGCACAAAAAGCAATGGGATGAACACAAGGATTGAAGAGTTTGGAGTAGATTTTTTTCCCTCTGCACCTCTATGCTATCCTGCCTACATATTAACTCAAGAGTCCTGGAGAAAGCATTTTGTAGAAAATAGCTGCTTACTGCCTTCCCCTTCCCCCGGAACCTGCTTAGCATGAAAAACCAGGTGGGCAAGGCATCCACTGTTTTGCGACAAGCAAAGGTTTGCTGCTTCAGCTCCACTCCCTTCCTCCCCATCCATAGCAGTTGATACTCCTTTCATTACTTTGCTTCTCCAACAGAGAGGCTCCTTTACAGTGCCAAACTAAGGAATTAGAATCTAAAATAGTTAAGTACTTCTTGATGGCTAGACTAATGGTATCATGTAGATTTTTGCCCTGGGGCTTTTCTAGAAATAACAGCTTACTTTTTCTCTATACATATTTGGACTCATCTTGACTATGAGTAAGGGCCATATTCTGTTAACACTTATGGCACTCTGCATAGCCCATTTGTATCAATTTCATAAGAACGAACATATTGGTAACGATTCTTATATGCACGTGATTTCTTGAGTGGCAGATCATCACCTTGATTTGACTGGTGTTTCATGATTATTATAAAACAGACAGCAAATAAAACAGTTGGACTAGCCAAACACAACAACTTCCATGTATTTGTGTCCAAAAAAATGAACCAGCTTAAGGAGGTATGCTAGTTAAAGCAGATTGGTCCACTTATAGTGGTTTCACTTGTACAGTGTTATCAAGAGCCATATTCCATTGAACTAAACTGGAGATACTTATCTGTATTAGAGGTAGAACATCACTACACCCAATAGATAGGAATAATGCCAATTGTAAGATATTGATATATCACAGTTTCTATTCAGAAAGCAATATTTTTTTAAAAAAGGTTACTTACCTCGTAACTGTTGTTCTTCAAGATGTGTTGCTCATGTCCATTCGAGAAACCTGCCTCTAGGCAGGGACGCCCTTTCAATGGTGGAGTCCAGGTGGGCCCCACAAACTATTATCTGTGTGGGGTCTAGAGTGGACTTCTTATTTATAAGGAGGCCTAGTTCAGAGAACAGCCTCCTGGTCACTGCAATATGGCTTATCACTTGTTCTCGGGATGATCCCCTTATCAACCAATTGTCCAGGAAGGAAAAGACCTGGATCATGAGGTGCCTCAAAAACTGCTACTGTGGCCATTCATTTGGTAAACACTCAGTGCTGTGGAGAGGCAAAATGTCAGGACAGCAAACTGAAAATGATCCTGACCTACTGTGAATCTGAAAAACTTCCTGTTGGTGGGGATCACTGCAATATGAAAATATGTGTCCTTTAGATCGAGGGCAGCATACCAGTCTCCTTTCTGTAGGGAAGGGATGATGGAGACTAGGGTGACCATCCTGAACTTTGTTTTATGAATGAGTTCAGGTTTCTCTGGTTTAAGATAGGGAGCAGACCTCCTTTTGCCTTAGGAATAAGGAAGTAGCAGGAGTAGAAACCCCTTCTCCTGAATTCTTCTGAAACAGACTTGACTGCTCTGAGTTGAAGAAGTGTAGACACTTTCTGTCTTAGCAGAACCTTGAGACAGGTCCCAGAAGAGGGACAAGAAGAGGGCATGGGAAAAGGGGATCACATAACCCTTTGCTACTAAGTCTAAGACCCATCAGTCGGAGGTTATCCAGGACCACTAGAAAAAGGGACAAATGGCAACCAAAAGGGGGTGACGGAGATGTAACTGCTATGCTGTCCTCGAGTGTACCCTCAAAAAAGGAGGGTTTGGGTTGTTGGCTCATAGGTGGGGCAGATCCTCTATCCGAACCAGATCTCAAGCCCCTGTGCCTGCTCCTAGGCAGGTCGTTCCAGCCATTATTACGGCCTCTCCTCCTACCCTAGTCCAAATCAAAATCATGTTGGAAGGGTTTCACATTTGGCCTGGGGTTGAGGAGCCTTCTCTGAAGGGCTGAGTGTAGATCCCCAGGGACTTCAGAGATGCCCTGGAGTCCTTAAGGCTGTGTAGCTTTGAATCTGTCTGGTCTGAGAACAGGCCTGCCCCCTCAAAGGGGAGGTTCTGTAGCATTCTGCACATTTGGAGGGATGCCCGAGACTTGGAGCCACACACTTATCACTATAGCAATGGTCATTGTGCAGGCCACCAAATCAGCAGCGTCCAGAGCCGCCTGTAACGCTGTCCGCGTGACTGTTCTACCTTCCTCTGTTAGAACCCCAAATTCCGGAGGAGGTGGGCTTGGTGGTACAACCACAGAATCCAGACTAGCCACTGATGAGGTTGCCATTGGGGTGGCCAAGTACCAGTGGTGGCCTGTCAATACAGGTGACCTAGGCAGTCACCTAGGGCGCCAAGATAAACGGCCGTTGAAGGCTTTGGAGGTGGGGGCGTCAATCGCACGCCAATTTCACGTTTCACCTAGGGCACTAGTTGCCGGCAGCTCACCTAGTGCCGCTCCTGCCAAGTATGTGTGTCCAAAGGGCTCCGGTGTCACAGTCTAGGCTTGGAGCAGGAGCGGTACCGGGACCTCGACCTGTTAGAGGACCTGGCTTAATGGTATGTCCTTGGAGTCCAGACTGGCCACTGATGAGGTTGCCATTGGGGTGTTTGTACCAGGAGCAGTGGCAGAACTTCGATCTGTAAGAGGACCTCACCGAGCCTACAGATTCGGCCTCCGACTCTGTTGAATTATCAGAGGCTGACCATGGGAGGGGAGGAGGGGCTGTTGTCGCCTGCTCCCATTGGTTTTGGGTCATGGCCATCAGCTTCCCTCTGTGCATCAGGCCCGGTACTGGAGGAGATATCATTTGCATCTAGGTCGTGTACGCTGGTGCCAAGTGTGGCAGTTGGGAAGATACTACACCAGCAGCACTGGAGGTGTCTGGAGTAGGGCCTCCCAATGTTGTCCACAGGAGTGTGGGTGATCGCCACGCTACAACTGCGCATGTCAGAGCCAGTATCGGGGCTGGTGTCCAGGCTGGGGCAGCTGTTGGCACTGGCACCAATGTCGAAATTGGTGCCGGTGCTGGTGCCGCCCTATGGCTCGGTGCTTGTGTTAATGCCGGGTGGGGAAAATCCAGAGCTGCTCGTGGTACTGGAGATGGTGGCCTTGGTAACTGCGGTGCCGAGGCCCTGCCTCCGGGGAGGTCAATTCAATGAGCTCCTGTGCCACACTGAAGGTCTCCAGCATTGATGGATTGTCGAGTTCCTTAAAAGTCCCTTCTGGTACAGGTGTGGAGGTATGCCTTCGCCTGGGCTGTACTGGGACATCCCGGAGCACCTTTGAGACCAAGTGTCCCTCCTTCGGGCACATCTTGTGGCCATGCCTTTTTGAGGATCTTCTCCTGGCATCGTTGGCTCTCCTCGGTGCTGGGGACTGTGACTGGTGCCTACAGGGCTTCGAAGAGGTAGTATGACACCACAGAAGCCTCCCGCACCGAGGATCAACTTGAGCCCCTCTCTCTCTCACTCCTCAGTTTAAAACTCTTGCAGATGTTGCAGCCTTCTGTACGATAGGCCTCCCTGGGACACTTCAAGCAAGAGTCGTGCAGATCCCCGCAGAGCATAGGCTTCAAGCAGGATGCACATAGCTTGAAACCCTCGGGCCTTTGAATTCCCTCCCCAGAAGGGGAGAAGCCCTTCTTATCTAAAACGAATGAGGTACTAACTGAGAAACACAACACTTAAAAATCTAAAGAACTATATACAGGCAAAGGGTAAAGACTATTACTCTTGATCATGCGCCAGCTACCATCATGGGTGGTAAGAAGGAACTGAGGGGCTAGCAGGGGTTTATATGCACCGATAAGACGGTGCCACTCCAGGGGACTCCCTGGCCCAACAGGTACTGCTAAGGGAAAAAGTGCAGTTCACACGCACCTAATTGGAATGGACATGAGCAAGCACTCGAAGAACTAACAATGACATTAACAATTCCTTTCTCTGCATCTTTATTTTATAATAAAATAATTCTCACGTTGGGTTAAGAGGTAACCCTTTAATGCATTTTGCATGGCTTAATGTTTTATTATGAGTAGGCTTTCTGGCTAAGTATATGAAACTAGTCCAAATGTTGACACTACAAAAATGTAATACAATCAGCGTTTTTAAAGAAATTAAACAATGTTGTGGAAAACTATCAAAATGGATGTTTTTCCTGTAATGAAAATTAAATGTGTCTGGCAAGAATATAAGCCTACTAAGTAAGCTGGGACAAAGTATATTTTTGGATGCTTGAAATTTAAGTATTTTTACATCAAAATCTTTAACTATTGTTTCATGCATAAACAAATATCATGACATTTATAAGTAGACAATCCAAATATTTTAATTTAATATGTTCCATATTATATACAATCTTATAAAATACCAGTTTGTTTTAACATAACAGCTGTTATATTCATTCAGAAATAGAGTGAGCCATACATCACATTGGTGCTGAGAGAACAGACATAGGCCAGGATAATAAGCTGGGGGCAGACAGCAAGATGGGCAGCTATCGTCCCGCAATCAATGTTAATACAGTAGGGAGTGAGAAACTGCAGCCAGTCCAAATCATTCATAATTCTGATTCTGAATGACTTCCTCCAACATAAATAATGTCTCAATGTGTACTAACATGGAAGATGTCACTGTTTGTTTCACATTCTCTTTTTTAAAAAACAAGCAATGCATGATACTGGCAGTCCTCTAGAGGCAATAGTAACAGCACCCAGTATCCAGGGACTTGTAGCAAAAGGGGAGGTGGAGGAGAATGCCACAGAAATTAGGCTAAGGACTTTGTGCTGAATGAAAGACAAGTGTAACACATCTGCTGCTAATTTTGATGCAGATTCTTGGGCAACATGAGAGCTCTGAAAGCTAACCCAGAGACATTTGGGGTAGGCCATCAATGTTTCGCTAGTTTGGCCATTATATCCTACACTTAAAAATAAAAACAGACTAATACATTGCAGTCTGATGTTTACACTTCAGTAGCACAAAAGTAACTCATGTGCCTTTATTTACACACTGTATGAAATCAGCAATAAACACAAACCCTGACCTAACAGCTATACTGGGTGACATTCTACACCCACAAACCCTGTATCAAGTAGCATATACAGGGGGAGTCTCTCTCTATCACTGTCACAACTAAGAACCAAAAGCTAGCTTCCGTTTGTGCACACGCATGCTGCACTGTAAATCTAATCCATCACAGTAGGGGCCTACACTCCAGACTGTTACTGAGGCTTAACAGGTTTCTGTTCTTTGGTCACAATAACATTTTATCTCTTGGCCAGCACAATGATAGGCTTTTAGCAGTGTGGAGTCAATACTGTATTATCAGTTGGAATGATTGCACAAATTTACCAGTAAATACAATATTCTATTCTTTATAATATTTGCTCTATTTCTACCCAGAAGTGTATTATGTTGGGCCTCCAAGTCAACATTAACTGAAATTGGCACATTATAACTCACTTCGTCTTAATGTAACATCAGCTACAAGGTTCATCTCAAGGCTAGTCCTACTGCTAATGAAGCTAATTGCAAAATTCCCCATGGACTTCAATAAGAGGATCAGGATCGTTCTTTCTAAAAACATGTCTGAACCCTGAAATACCTCTCCTTCTAGAAGAGAAACATGTCCACCCCAATAGTATATTTTGTCAATATATTAGTGTATTTTTAAAAAGTATTAAAATAGTTCAAAGTTAAAATATCCATTTTAAAAGCAGGTTCTTGGAAACACTTTAATTGGTATAGTAGTGTGGTTATGTAAACATGACAGGAAAGTTTGTACATCACTCCCCACTGTCCTTAAAAACTGTATGCAAATCAAACAGAATGAAAGCTTGTTGGTTCCTACAGCAAGCCTTCATCTGATCTGATAAAGCACGCACTGTTACTTGGCATGAAGCATTTCTAAATACTAGCCTGTTTTGAAAACCAAGCCAAAAAGAGAATACATACTTGTATCTTTTTTTCTAATAGTCTGTCCAAAAAGTGTTCAGCTAGTATAACAATCCCATAACGAATTAATGGGTAAAAGGCACTCCATCCCTCTCAACTATACTATACACCTGTTATCTATTTCACACCATCTGTGCTGAATCAATGTTAAAAAGTTTAACTGTAACAGCTACAATGTAAAGATTAATACAGCTCAAGTTTTTCTCCACTGCCATACTTCTCACTGAAAACTGTACATTGATGTGAATATACAGTACTAGCTTTATTTACATGTTTAAGAATTTTGTTTTCCAAAATGAGAAAGTCAAAATAATTGAACCAGTATTATTAAAAAACATAACAAAGTTTAAATAATTTAAAATTCACTTACTCGAACAATTTTCCTATTGCACAGTTTTTTCTTAACATTGCTAGACAAAATCCCACAAACTTGTAACAGATTAAAATTGTAAAAGCACAAATTATATTGCACCAAAATAAAGGTATTACATAAATTGTATGCCCACTGGAAACTGGGTACCAATAAAAACCATACATATACTAAGAGACCCAGGATGCTGAGAGAAACATTGAAGACAATTTCCCAGATTTCAAAAAAGTGTGAAGTGAGAAACTATACAGAAAATAATGCAAAGTTACTTTTGAACACCAGTAATACACATGCACAAAACCCACCTAGCCTAAGGAAAAAACATTTAGAATTTTGTATCTCAGTATTACATGTACTTCACATAATGTCTAGCTATGAATTAGAGAAGTATCATGTGAGATTTAACCAAGAAAGCTTTCTCCAACTGTTTTATAATGAAGCAGCCTAGAATTCCAGAAGGGGGAAAAAAGGCATCTTCAGTTTACCAATTCTTCCTCAAAAAGCCTTTTTCTGATCACCCTAACTCTGATCTGGAAGATGATTTTGGTTTCCATACATAAAATGTGCAGCATTAAAAACAATGAGGAAACTTCCATTTTTTCTAAGTAACATTACATTGGAATTTCTCATGCTGTTGCTGCAGCCACTGCCACCAAAACTGTGACCTGATGCTTCCACTGTAAGCATTTTTCTTGTATACATATACTCAAAACCCTTGAAAGTTAGAACCACTTCAACTTAAATGAGTAGGGGTATACTCCGGCCTTCTTGTCTGAATAATTTTTAGTTTCGGTTTCTGTGTGCCTTCCTCTTCCTCCACTTCATTTTCCTGATCACTCTCACATACATGAACAACAACACTGGGAGTAGTTTCAGTTGCAGCATGGAGTTCATACTTTTCTCCTGAAAAAAACATTAGCAAAACTGGTAAAAAGAGGCTCTCTTCTAATAGTAATCACAGAGTAGTCTAAAATTAAGGAAAAACCAAAAAGCTTGCAAATTGTATACCAGTGACAAGGCAGTATAAAGCTACAGTCCAGCAGGTCAAGTGAGCAGCCAAACTTTAAGACTGTTGGCAAACCAATATACAACATTTTAGGTTCCATTTTCAAAGACTGAATATTCAGCTACTTTGCACACACCATGTGGTCCTATGAATGTACATGTGTTCAGTCATGGATCATATCTTGCCATTTGTGTGCACAAATGATATGCATTTGTATATGCAGTTATGGGTTTTCAGCATGCAAATTTTATAAACTCATCTTTGATAATCAAGCCATTCTAGCCCCTGCCATTATACAGCATTTGTTGACCTGAAACCATCCAAGACAGATGGCTATGCAACCTTCTTTTGAAAACATCTAGTAAGTAAGCTTCCATGATGTTCTTAGGCAGTTTGTTCCATTGTCCTACTGGTTTTAGAGTCAGGAAGTTTTTCCTGAAATTTAATCAAAAATTATGCTGCAGCTTGAAACCATGGCCTCTTGTCCTGCCTTCTGTGGAGAAAAGGTGTCTTTCATCATCTCATTTATGGCAGCCTTGAAAGTATTTGAAGACTGCTATCATGTGTCATTTCATGTATTCTTTAACAGTCTAAAAATACTCAATTCCTTTAGTCTTTGCTCTGACGGCTTGTACTCCATCCTGTGATCCTCTGTCACTTGCCTCCAGATCTTTTTCAGTTTCATTATATACTGTCTATACAGCTGTGACCAAAACTGGACACAACTTCAGCTGATGCCTAACCAGCATCACAAAGTGGTACTATCATCTCCTCTGTTAATGTAACCCAAATTGCATTTGATTTTTTGTAACAGCATGTTATTGTTGATCATCACAATTACCAGACCTTCTCAGAAGTGCTCCTGCTGGCAAGACAGCTATGCCTCATTCTGAATCTGTGCATATGTTTTTTCTGCCCAAAGACTAGCACCTTACATTTATCTTTTAAGAATTTAATTTTGTTGTCTATAGTCCAATTCACCAAAACTCTTTAAGTTTAGCTCTGTCTTCCAAAGTGTTTGCAAACCTCCCCACAGCTGTCATCTCATCTGCATATATAAACATTATGATCAAATTTGATCGTTCAGGAGACCTGTCCATCTCCGTACCATGAAGATTTAAAATCAAAGCAGCAGATTTTTTCCAAGGCTTCCACCAGCAGAGTTATAGTTTTGCTGATCAAAACCCAAAGGAATTCTGCTCTGGGATTCCTATGTAATAACAGAGTTGGTTTGAAGGGATTTTATACATCTATATGGATAGCATATACATTGTCAAGTATCAGAGGGATCCATGTTAGTCTGGATCTGCAAAAGTGACAAGGAGTCCTGTAGCACCTTACAGACTAACAGATGTATTGGAGCATAAGCTTTTGTGGGCAAAGACCCACTTCATCAGATGCATGTAGTGGAAATTTCCTGACGCAGGTTAGAAAAAGTTATACAATTATTTTAAATTATATAATTTTAAATACAAATACTTTATAAGTTTCATTTTATTTCTGGGGAAACTTGTTAGAGTTAACGTTACACTTTAAATCTTAGAATAAAAAATAAGTAGTTCTGTTAAAGCTACTGGCAGCAGGTCGGACATAATTAAAACAGCAAAATGAGAATTATGATCTTCATGAAATTAGCAACTGCAATGCCTCAGCAAGTATGTTTTGTTCTGGTAAGGATATTCCTATGAAAATTTGTATCTTTCTGATACAAAAAAGGAATTTGAGAAAACAATCCCTTACATAAAAAAAATTCAGTGTTTTCTACAGTTAGTAATTTAATTGACAATGATCAGTTACCTTGGGGAAAAAAGTTTGATTTATTGCCGGTATTCCAAGTCAATTTTTACTCAAGCCCAACTATTAAAACTGTAAGCTCAGAATTCTGCTTACCTGGCCCTAGCTTGGAGACAGCATAGAGAAGGTCATAATTAATGACCGGCGTAGCATCTTCTACTTGTTTCCAACCAACAGGAGGAGAGGCTGGAGGTGAAATCAGAAACTGTTTGTCTGGTTTTGGTGGAGCTAAATGCGAGCTTCCAATGTGCAAAGTCTGGGAGAATAAAACAAGCCTATTAATGATTACTTTTAATTTTCTATCAATCAGTTATTTGCATGGAATTTAAAGTTTGAACAGCTGTCATACCACAACACACACTCAAGGTGGCAGTATGTAATAGTGCAAAAACATGCTGACAAAACATGCAGTAAAATATGTACATCTGTTTTTTGTTTTAATATATGGTTATTTCATCATAGAAAAAAACCACTCCTAAAAGATCAAAATAGGGGAATAGGAGATGTAAAGTTTATTGACAAACGGAGTTGAAACTCATAACCATAAGGGATGAAAATTCCAGAAGGTATAGAAAATAAACTGGGTCCTTCAGGACTGTCCCTAAGGACATTTGAAAAAGACACACAGGACATCAAGATGAAGAAGAAAACTCAGAATTTAAAAAGCAGTGCTTAATTATATCAACTGAAAATGCACACATTTTCAGAACTAAGGTACAGTTAGAGATCTCCTTGGTCTTACCTACACTCAGAAATATAGCAGTCAGTGACCACCCTGATAGCTGCACTGGTGAAACCCCCCTAAATGTATGAGTATGCGCCGGTTTAGGAAGTGAATAGAAATTAGTGTAGCTGTGTGTACTGGTACAGACCCCTGTCCACCCTTTGGTACAGATCCTTGTCTGCATTTAGGATCATTGCCACAATGCTGTTTGCTGAAGCAGGGCTACTTTTGAGCAAGGAAAAATATTCAACTTGCAAGCCAATGTTATTTGCATCTCTACAGGCATAAGATTTGCTGAAGAACCCCCACCAGCTTGAGCACCAAACATTAACCGAGTGTAACTGGGGCCAACAGCGACAGCAGGCCCTGGGCTGAGGAGTGTGTGTGGGGGGAGGTGCAGGGGGTGGGCTATATGTACCTGGCAAGGATAGGGCTGATGGTAGTCCGCCCTTAGCGCCACTCAGGCTCCAGTGACAATTCAAAGGGGTCTGGGGCTGTAGCTGCTGTTGCAATAGAGGCATCTGGGAGCTCCAGGCCCCTTTGAATCTTCAGTCCTTGGGGCAATTGCCCTCTTCCTCTCCTGTTGGTGAGCTTGCCAAGTGTGAACTATGCAGGTAATTGTAGACGTCTGTGCATAGCCAAGACAATCAGTTATCTCTTAACTTATCAAATGATTACCTAATATTACAAATTAATTCTCCCTCAATATCATTTACTATTTAGTTACTTTGTATAGTGTAGTTGGTCCCAGGATATTAAAGATAAGGTGACTGATGTATTATCTTTTATTGGACCAACTTATGTTGGAGAGAGACATAAGCTTTTGAGCCATTCAGAGGTCTTTAGCATATACACTATTCTAACGTAGAGTGACCTCTTAGCATCTCTGCAAACAGAGGACAAAAAGAGGGTATAGTGGGTTATGGATCATTGTAATAAGCCACGGCTCGAAAGCTTTGGTCCAAAACAAAAACAAACAAAAAAAATATTACTTAATTCACCTTTGCTTTTCTGTTTAGTTGCTTACCATTTTGCAATAGCCAGGTAATGCATTTATCCAACGTAATTCCCACACCCTCCTAGGTGCCCAAGTTATAACTATCACTCTTCAAGCTCCCAGCTATGTTATCAGTACAAATCCCAGTAGCATCTTGAAAACATTAATATTAAACTCCTCAAACTAAACTAATTACTACCAATACTAGTGGTAATTAGATACAATACTAATACTAGTTGTTGGGATTTAAGTCAATAAACCCTTCTATTCCACCAATTAAATTTATCTAAGTGGCCACAGAATCTCCTATAACTGCACTATAAAGATGCAGAATATCTAAAGTGTGTGGCTAAAAATGTGGCGAAGAGCAGACATACTTTCAGTGATATTCCTTCCCTCCTCCAAACAAGTGAAATCCTACAGTCATTTTGATTTTAAAACCAAATTTCTTATGTATAATATTTTAAAATTAAAAATCTACTTTTTTGCCATTACTGACCCCAACAGAATCTTGCTTGGACACAGAAGTAGCTATAAAAAAGACCCTGGGATATCTTTAAGAGTTTCATTGGGAGTTCTGGGATAATTAGATTTTCAATTAAAGCTGGCTGAAAGGTGTCAATTTCTTCAATTGAAAACTCTTTCCAGTAAAATGAAAGTTTTTGTAACTATATCCCATTTTGACCAAATTGATAAAAAATTCAGAACATTAAGAAAAGAAAGAACGTAGGAAGAAATGAACACTCAAAAGGAAAAAATGTTAGAACTGGTAAATAAAATGTTTTTTATATTCACTAAAAAATGAAGTGTTTTGAAAATTCCCAAAAGTTGTTTCAAATTTTACAAGATGTGCTCCACCCCGCGTTGTCCATCCAACCAGCTCTAGTTATGACACAATGCTCAACTACATGTCTCCTCCAAATCCCAAAATAGGGCAAGCAATACACCAACCGGCAAAATTCTAGCATATATTAGCTTCCAAAACACTTCTAAATTTGGAGACCTATCTGATGCTTTCACCAATCAGTATGGTTACTACTAACAGTTATACATTTGTATAAGTCTTTTTTTTTTTTAATGATGAACTACAACATAAGACTCAATGGCAAAATGATTATATTTATACAGAGAACTACATACCTGAGCAAAATACAGCTTAATTTCCTTTCCAAGAAATTCTGTCTTGTGTAGCTGGATTCTAGCATCTGCTGCTGATAAAGGGTTGCTGAAGTTTATTCGTACTCTTTTGAAGCTCTTAAAATACTGAAAGGTGGCATCTTTGTCATATGTTCTAAAGAGAGATTCAAATTTGGCCTAAAAAAAAAACAAACCCACACAGAGAATCAGCCATGTTTATTCCACATCCCTTTTTTTCTTGTAATATATTCTCACTCCCTCAAAGACAACTGCAGTTTATGGTGGACTGCAGTTAATAGTAACATGCTAAAATGGGGCAAGCCATTTAAAATAAACTAATAATCATTTATTTGCAACATAGAAACTGCCTTTATCTTCCCTGTAAAACAGACAGCTTTTTTGGTGCTGAAATAGAATTAAATATGTTGGATGTCTAGTGGCTTCCCTCTCCATTTTATGGCATGCTAAAGAAAGTACTATTCACAAGTTATGAAGATCATGGTATTTTATTTGATTAGTTTAGTTTACCTGCCTTTTACAGATAATTCTATATAAATTCAACGGAGGGTCAGAAGTCCTTGCTCAAGTAAAAGTCCTATTCGGTAGACATGAAACCGAATATTGTGCTATTCTAAAATGTGCTTGTTTCTAAGTTAACCAAACTGTAATATTTATGGCATATGAAAACTTTTACAGGCAGTCCCCGGGTTACATACAAGATAGGGACTGTAGGTTTGTTCTTAAGTTGAATCTGTATGTAAGTCGGAACTGGTGTCCAGATTCAGCCGCTGCTGAAACTGATCAGCGGCTGATTCCAGGAAGCCCGGGGCAGGGGCTTCCTGTAGTCAGCCACTGGTCATTTTCAGCAGCTGCTGACTAGGGGACACCTGGGGCAGAGCAGCTGGGGGGCTGCCGGTTGGTCCCGTAGCGCCGCTCTGGGTGCCACTGGACCAACCCAGCAGCCCCCCAGCTGCTCTGCCCCAGGTGTCCCCTAGTCAGCAGCTGCTGAAAATGACCAGTGGCTGACTACAGGAAGCCCCTGCCCCGGGCTTCCTGGAATCAGCCGCTGATCAGTTTCAGCAGCAGCTGACTTGGGGATGCCTGGGGTTCTTAAGTTGAATCTGTATGTAAGTCGGAACTGGTGTCCAGATTCAGCCGCTGCTGAAACTGATCAGCGGCTGATTCCAGGAAGCCCGGGGCAGGGGCTTCCTGTAGTCAGCCACTGGTCATTTTCAGCAGCTGCTGACTAGGGGACACCTGGGGCAGAGCAGCTGGGGGGCTGCCGGTTGGTCCCGTAGCGCCGCTCTGGGTGCCACTGGACCAACCCAGCAGCCCCCCAGCTGCTCTGCCCCAGGTGTCCCCTAGTCAGCAGCTGCTGAAAATGACCAGTGGCTGACTACAGGAAGCCCCTGCCCCGGGCTTCCTGGAATCAGCCGCTGATCAGTTTCAGCAGCAGCTGACTTGGGGATGCCTGGGGTTCTTAAGTTGAATCTGTATGTAAGTCGGAACTGGTGTCCAGATTCAGCCGCTGCTGAAACTGATCAGCGGCTGATTCCAGGAAGCCCGGGGCAGGGGCTTCCTGTAGTCAGCCACTGGTCATTTTCAGCAGCTGCTGACTAGGGGACACCTGGGGCAGAGCAGCTGGGGGGCTGCCGGTTGGTCCCGTAGCGCCGCTCTGGGTGCCACTGGACCAACCCAGCAGCCCCCCAGCTGCTCTGCCCCAGGTGTCCCCTAGTCAGCAGCTGCTGAAAATGACCAGTGGCTGACTACAGGAAGCCCCTGCCCCGGGCTTCCTGGAATCAGCCGCTGATCAGTTTCAGCAGCGGCTGAATCTGGACACCAGTTCCGACTTACATACAGATTCAACTTAAGAACAAACCTACAGTCCCTATCTTGTATGTAACCCGGGGACTGCCTGTACTTGCTTTTAATTTAGGGAAATGAGGTTTGTTTAGGGAACTTCAGTTATAGAATTCCTTTATCATTGTAACACCCTCCATCTATTGATCTCAAAGAACTTTACAAAGCCTCAACTCTTAGGGTGTGTCTAGACTACAGGGTTTTGTCGACAAAAGTGGACTTTTGTTGACAAAACTATACCTGCGTCCACACTGCCTTTGAGTTATGTTGACAGAACGTCGACAAAACTCAGGAGTTTTGTCGACGTATGTAAACCTCATTCTACGAGGAATACCGCCTTTTGTTGACAGAGTTCTGTCGATAGAAGGCATTATTGCATCTACACTGTCCTTTGCATCCACACTGTTATGTCAACAAAGCGGCTTGCTTTGTCGACAGAACTGGCTGTAGTCTAGACGCTTTTTGTCAACAGAAGCTTTGTCAACAGTATCTGTCGACAAAACTTCTGTCGACAAAACCCTGTAGTCTAGACACACCCTTATAGTAAAGAAAGTATTTTTCTAATTACGCAGACACTGAAAGAGAAAAAGGTTAAAACAGTGTATTTGTTGGAGAATGGGAACAGAATCCAGAACTTGTGATTCCAAAACCCTGTGCTTTCATTACTGTTGCCCAATGACTTACTCTTGTAGTATCATCCAGACAGGATGGCTAAATACATCAACAGTTGGCAGTTTTCACTGAGGATTTGAACAACCAATATTTGGGCTTTTAAAGCACATGGGGCAGTTATCCAAAGCAAACTCAGTTATTTTTACATTATTTATGAAGAATGTTTCCATTTTTACTTCAGAGTGCTGAAGGGAGGGAAGGGAAAAAAGGCGTCTGTGGCTAGCATGCTTCAGATTTATTTTAATCACAGTGACTTGCTATATACAGCCCTTGCTAGCAAGTTACATTTTATCTATTGACATTTTGTATGTTGCTATTTCACAGAATCCTGTTCATTTTATGTAGTTTTTCTATAAGCCAAGTGTGGTTCTAACTCACAACTTGCTACTCCTATCCTGAGACTCTTTGTAACATATTTATTAGACAAAAGTCAAATATTTCATGAATGGATGGATGTTAACTCAAAATTATCCTGTCTCTCTGAGTTACACTTTAGTAGTCTAATAAAAATGAATATGTTAAACTAACTCCAAGTAGTTTTCATACAATTCTCAAGAACAGAGAACTTAGCATAGGAATTGTTTGTTAGCTTTCTACATTGGAAAGAAAAGCTACTTGGTATTTCTGAAATCTATATTGTATTTAAATCTTTTCTACAGTACACTACTTGATCTCATTCATATCTATTCAGAAAAACAGATGTGTCTATAATTCAGAATTCATATGAACTACAAAAGTCTTGAAGATCTTTTACATAATTAATGAAATGCACGGAATTTTCAATTTTATGTTAGCCAAAAAGAAAAATCTACAGTGTTATAAGACTAACCTCACAGATCCCACTTCAAGATGAAATCAGATATTAGTATCATAGTGTCTATTAATAAAATCCAACTGTTTTATGCCTGACAGATGTCAGCATAACTAATTAATAATTCACTCCTATACATTCAGCACTGATGCTTTTGTTACTCCTTTAATCTCATCAGTTAAGATAACTGGAGTGATTGTATTATGTAGTATACCAACACTACAGCAGTATTACCAGTCATAATTACAGTGCTACATCAACAACATAATTTCAACATCTTCATATATTTTAAGTGAGCCTATTACCTACATTCTAAATCTGAACATTGTTGAAAATGTCTTCAAATGAAGTTTTATCCACTCATCCTCATGTAGACATACATAGATACACTATATATTTATGGACAGACTACAAGTATTTGAACAAAGTAGAAGATAAAGATCTTTAATTTCATATGATAATTAAGAGAAACATAATACACATTTGCTGACTACAACCTGTTGACCTCTGGAATAGTTCTTCCTTACTGTTTAAGCAGTATCTGTTTCTTTTAATTGTACAGTATTTTTCAACTATATTAGAACAGCCCATACATAGTGCAGAATTTAAGAAATTCACAGAACTAAAGCTCAACTTTAAGAAGGTCTTACCCTCATTTCAACTTGATTGAAGACATCACTGTCTGCTACATAGGCAATTAAGGAGCCAAAACTGTAGTTAAGGTTCCTAAAATGCATTTTATTCTTCACTGAAGCAATGTTAGCAGTTCAATACAAATCCAAGCCAATTACTTTTAAACAAAGCTGTTGGTTCTGTAGACAGTGTTTATAAAGGAAAAATGCCCAACCCCTCAGAAAAGCTCTCAATGCATGCTGTAAGTGACAGCAAATTCCTGAACAAAGTCCTGCATGCTTTAAGGCAGTCAGGGACAAAATGTTAGTGTCTACTGGAAAAAGGTGACATCAGCACATTAGTCAGCTTTCCTATGCTAATTAACTTTGCTTTGGAAGATGGAAAAAACAGCTGAGGTTTGCACAGCAGCTGCTTTATCAACTCCTCTTGCAGCATAGTTTCCATTGGTAGTAATTCCATTCAACACTCAGACAACATGCTCTTCACTTGAGTGGGCCAACCCATCTTAAGATGGAAAATGTTACGGTTAAAGAACCAGTGTCCACAGTAATTCCACAGTAATAAGTAATTAGCCAGCAGGGAAAAATCAAGACTTTGGAAATCAGAAAACAAATTCCTTAGTAAATTTAGTCCTTGTACTTTCCAAAAAACACGTAAGAAGTTGGGGATTAGAGGAAACTTATTTTGAAAAATACCTTATTTTGAAAATATTTTATAGCAGAAAATTATTTTGAAACACTTGTTGCAATTAAAAGTTTATGAAGTAATTTCCCACTTCCAATTTATTTGATTCCCTTAGCCACATGGGGCTGTAATATGAAATCATACAATAGTTCAATTAGTAGTCCACTATTAGAATTTGATCACAAAACCCTATTCCCCATTGATGTGAAAATAAACCCTTCACACATGACATCTTCTGTTTAATGAATCCAGACTGTTATTTGGAAAAAGATTCTGGAGAATAGATCAAGATGGAAAGATTAAAATCAAAGCTATTTAAGTCACTGATTTAAAATATTTATATCAGAGGGAGACTTTGTACTGCTAATGTAAAATCTATGCGATGGCAACTATAAATTTAGTCTTCTGAATAAAATTCTAAATTTTTAAAAGGATTTGTTTTTAGTATAACATTTACTACCTGTAAGATATGTTATTTGAATTCTATGAAGTTGCTATAGGCTAAAACCAAAACACAAAAGATGAGAGGATTTATCCAGAGTTGCACAGCTCATTAACGCAAATAATTTTTGAGTTTCTTCATTTAAGTCATTGCTCTGAAGTGGGGCAGGAGATGAGGGGTTCAGTATGCAGGCTGCCTGGGAAAGAGGACAACCCCAGCTCTCACTGCAGCAGCTTGTGGTCAAGTAAGAAATGTCCTTCTGGGCACAGCCAGGGGAGATGTGCATATCCCTTGGCCAGGAGACAGACACACAAAACTTTCTCAAATATATAGTGCATAGCTGTCCCTTTTTCCACCTCAGCCCCTTATTATCTCAAAGGGATTATAGCTATCCCAGTGCTCATTTCCCCACTATGGTCATTATATAGTATCACTGTTCTTGCTAGCAGACTCCTCCCTGTTTTATGAGTAACAATTGTATTTCAGGCATATCCCATTGTTTTGGCACAACCGAACCCTTACCTTGCTTTAAGTTATGATAAGAGGAAGCTGCCTATCAAATGTGATGGTCTTTACCCTTTAGGAGTTCTTAAAACAGACTCAAACACAAACTCTCTCAAATATACTATAGAAGATTAAGCATTTGTAGGACACAGACTAAAACGAGCATGTAACTTTATTCAAATGATTAGTCCCTTTGACTTCAGTGGGACTATTCATCTGCTTAATTAAGCTTGTGCACAAGTGTTTGCAGCACTAGAGGCTAAACATTTTTCATATCTTATATTGCAATTAATCGGCTAATCAAGTAGCACTTGCTAGCCCCGCTGTGGTTCTGCAGTTTAAATATAGTAGGAGCCAGGCACGCAGCTGCCTGGCTCCTACCACACTTAAACTGCAGAGCTGCAGCAGGGTTAGCTCCTAGGGCAGCTTGCCCTGGGACTAGGAGCTAACCATGCTGTGTGTCTGCCTTTTAAATGTAGGAAGAGCTATTGGGAGAGACCCAGTGTCTCTTACTACATCCAAAAGGCAGAGCTGCAGCAGACAGGGACCCGGTGTGAGCATCAGCCTGTGCTCATGCTGGGCCCTGCACTGTCCCTCTGCCTTTTAAATGTAGTAAGAGCTGGATGCTCTTACTACATTAAAAAAGCAAAGCCATAGCGCCGCTGCACCTCTGCTTCCCCTGCCTCTCCCACCATACCACACCACACCACAGAGACAGTGCCAGGGGGAACTGGCTTTTAAGCTGGCTCTGCCATCACTAGCTCCTACTTCATCCCTCTTCCTCGCCTTGCTGCCTATATCAGAGGCAGCAAGGGGGTGGGAGGGGATGAAATGCAAGTAGTAGATGATTACTCTTTACATCTCTAATTTGTGTACAAAATCTTTGTTACTTCAAAACAATACTGCTTCACCATTAAGTAGTTTTCACTTCAGTACATTATTGTAAACCATTTTGTACATAGGCCAAAGTTTTCAAAATTATGTGCCTAAAATTAAACTCTCACGCCCATATTTAGGCTATTCAAGTGCTCTTGAAATTTTCATTTTTATACTGAATTCAAATGGCTAGTCTAGGTAGTAAAGTATCAACTTGATTAAAATTTGAATACAATAGAAGATGGTGCTGGTTGCAAACATAGTATAGGTTGTTTGCTTATCAAATTCTGTGTACGAGTTTGTTTCCCCAGTAAGGATGTTAGTGAGGTCCTTGATTTGCTTTTTCCCCCAGTCTACGTAGTCAGTACCAGTTCAGAAAAAAAATTGTGTAAAATCTGAAGTTCTACTAACAATTAGAAACAATCAAAAATTCATCCACGTTAGTAAATTAAGAAACAAAATGAAAAAGTCTGTTTCAACATCAATTTTTAAAAACTGAGTAGAAAAAAACAATTTTCACACATCATTGGAAGTGGCCATGAAAAGAACAATAAAACCTAAATGTTTCACAGTATCATGCTTACATTTTATAGCTAGGAACTGAAAGTGAATGGATGATATATTTGAAATTAAAAGGAGATCACTATCACACTGGTAGTTTTTTTCATATTTGTAATATTGTAGGATTTAGCAAATGAATGATGAAGTATACTGGGATCTTCATTTTGGAATGAATGTCAGAAAAATGTAAGACATTCTGGCAATTTAAGTCCATATACAAATGAGTACCTCAGGTCTGAATTACTTAATTCAAACGCTTCTAAAAAAAAAGCACCTGAAAAATTCTGAGTATTTTTGGCAGCACCACAGACAGATCTAAAAGGTGTCCAAAGTGTTCCATATTTTTGTAATAAACTTAAATTCAGTGGGGGGGGGAGGCCTCAAAATAGTCAAAACAATATTAATGGTACTCAAAAGTTACTAAAAACCTTCCTCCACAGGAAAATTATAAGCACTCTGGTTTGTTGCCTCATTGCAAGTTATATAAAAATATTCATGTCAGCACCTTCTTTGCCAGTACATGTCTGCAATTATCATATGGAGTGAACAGTACTGTAAGAATTCTAAAAGAAAGAATCTCTTTGAATATATACACACTCTAAACGCCACTTCAAAAGTGGTAGACTAATTTAACAATCTCTACACTGAAACATCCAGAAATCCAGCTTTCAACAATCAACTATATAAGTCAACTTAAAATCATTAACTGACCACATAATCAGTTCATTCTAGTTCTTGTTACAGAGATCTATCTTCAGTTCATTTTTATTTAAAAGCCCTCCCCCTTCCCCTCCAAACATTACCTTCATGGTATCGTATATATATAGTACTCCCCTCGCCCCGTCTGCACACCTGGCCATTAATCCCATCACACAGGCGGGTGAGTTACATCCTGGGCAGCTGCTCTGCAGCTGTTATACGTGGGCTGAGCGGCAGAGAGTCATTCCCCATATCAGAGGCACATTTTCAGAGAGTTTCTGCCAGGCGGTCGATTGGCTCCAGCAAGCACTCCGTGGAAAGTGGACACAGCAGCTGCAGATCGCTGTGAATGTGTCACCCAATGCTTAGTTCTCTGCACTGGTTCCTTAGGCCATGTCTACACTACAGAGAAGATCGAGGCAGCCAGGGGGCGGGGCCCAGCCATGTACATCACTGCTCCGCCCCCCCCTTCGCCTCCCGCCATGGAGAGAGAGAGGAAAATCCCGTCTTATGACGGGCTAATTGGCTAGTATTAGGAATAGTCTGCCCAAAGTACATTGTTATATTTAATGTGAGGGTTCAACTAAGGGTACAGCTAGTCTACAAGTTTGTCGGAAATAGGTACACAAAAAGTGCTCTGAATTTGCGTAACTTCTTCTAATTCTTTTGTCAGAAGAGGCTTTTCCGACATTTGGCCCATCTAGACAGGGCCAAATGTCAGGAAAAAACCTTCTTTTGGAAGCCCCCTTTTCCTCGCAAAGAAAAGCGGAAGAGCAAATGCATTCCCTGGACGCAACGGAGTTTTTTCAGGAAACCTCTGGTATCCCAAAAACCCCCTGCAGTCTAGCCATAACCTAAGAGTCACGACTTTTTTGACCATGTAAACAGCTATTCTAGATGCACAGCTTTAGTTTCTCAGTGATGTCAATGGGTTGAATTTCTATTGAAACTTAAATGGAAACAGGATTGGACCTTAATTTGCTATGGAAAACCCACACAGCCTTTTCTCACAAACACAGTTTCCATAAGAAGTACTGGAACAAAGGAGAACTTAATATTCTATGGGAAATAAGGCATTAAAAACACATCAGTCTTCCTGTGTTAATGCTTCTCTTCCTGTTAGAGGCTCAAACAGGATGACTTCACATTGCTTCCTGACGGCAGTCTCTCATTTTGGATATTAATCCAGAAACCTCAGTTATGTTTTGAGCCTCAAAAGTAATGCAATATAGGTTGGACCTCCCTAGCCCAGCACCCTCGGGCAGTGCCGGACCAAGCCATACTTGCGCCCCGGGCGCACGATGCCCCTTAATATTTCAATCAGGCGCCCCCCATAGGTTCGCGCCCCGGGCAACTGCCCGGCTAGTCCCCCACTTCATACGGCCCTGCCCTCGGGATCTGACTGGTCCCGAATAAGGGAGTTCGCCAGAGCAGGAGAAGTCAATTTCATCCCTCTGCTGACGGGAATCTGGGCTCTGCCAGAGTCCATCAGCAAACCCAGGGGAACTCCCATGCCCCCAGGCCTCCAGCTCCCAGCTCCACTGG